GTTTATGGTTTAGAGACGCCGCCTCTGACCCTTTCGTTCTCATGGGAAACACTAGTTCCCGCAGAGACTATCGTCAAAAGTCTCTCCGGGTACCGCTCGGCGGAGAGGTACAAGGAGGAAACAGGACGGGAGAGGGGAAAGTGGACGGGGCTCTCACACGTCTAACAAGCCAATGGCCCTCACTTGTTATCGTGGGCCCTGCCTTCTAATGAAACTGGTTCCAGAGGCTGGGGCCATGGACGGGAGGAAGAGGGGAAGGAAGAAAAGCATGAAGGGAATAAGGACATATACATGCAGGCGGGCGGGAAAAGGGTCAAGAAGTTCGTTCTTTCGGCTTTGTTTGGCTGGTTGGGGGCTGCAGTAGCTGCCGCTTTAAGATGGTTTGGGGGCCTTTTCCTTGTTTGGGGGTGCGGGAAACGGCCGCCATGATGTGCCTTGAATACTATAGGAGACGAGGCAAGGAGGCGCGGTGGAGATGGTGCAAGAGCACATGATGATCAGTGTATGTGGTTTCTCAGTTCGGTGATGAAGAACGGGATGTGAACATCGCGTGGCCGATATTAGAAATGCTCTGTTTTTGCGGTTGGTCCTGCTCTTCGGAGAGGGGAGGGGGCGAATTCTCCCGGGTCAGATCGCCTGCTCTCGGTGCTTCTCCTGGGCTGTTTATTCGCTAAGGATCAATGTGCACTTCTAAAGGACCTGTCAGTGCGAGATAGGGTTTCAGTGACAGCTGGATGAGAAGAAATCCGACATTGCTGAAGCGTGTTTTGAAAGCGGGGCTTTTCGAGTGGGCCTGGAGAATAATACTGCTAGAACGGAACCAACATGGATCGATTGATGATTGAGGTCTCTACACTACTTGCGTTCCAGACCAACCCGTGCAACGAAGACCCCCAAGACCTGCCACCCCCTTTCGAGCATCGGCCCTCTCAATAGAGAGCCCGCGCCGATGCGTTGATATCGCGTCGTGTCGGGTCCTCTGCAGCATGCTTCGGGTCCATTGGCGCCGAAGAGGTCTCATCATTCCAAGTGTCTGAGATCAGGTCGTTTCGTCATGCCCCGAATGCGAATCACTGCTCAAGATTCCCTGCCCCAGATCAGCTGCACCTCGGCGTACCTTGGCCGAACGAAGCCTATTTTCCCCCTCCTCCTTCTTCTTCAAAGCCGTCAATGACGAAGGGGTTCGGCTCCCAGGGTGAGACATGCATGCATCTAGTGCACCATCGTCGGTTCAACGATGAGATGGGTCAGCGACGACCTGAGCCTCGGGGACGGACCTGGGTTTAGAGCTTTCACACTGGTCGGTGACCTGGGGTAAGGTCAGTGCGTGGGCCTCCTCGAACCAAGCTGAAGAGGGAATGGCGCCCGTGAGTGGATGTGCACGCCGAGCATCTGGCCAGGACACTAAGGGCAGGGGTATGATTGGGAATTCGCCACTTGGGACCGTTTTCACGAGTGGTTATCGGCTGGAGGGTTATAGTGGGCAAGGAGCCTGACATTACTGGCGGACTTTGTAAGAAGCCCGCCCCCTTCTCCGTCCTCGCTCTCCGATGGATCTCCTTCCCTTGGACGCGTAGGGGAGACGGTCGTTCGATTGATAGGTCAACTATGAATTGCTCGACGCATGCTGAGAGGCGAGCTTTCCACTAGCGAATTCCAAGTTCCAAGCCAAGAGCAGGGCGGTTTTTTCCACTTGTCCGAGGTGGAAGAGGAAAAAATTCAACCCCTTTGCTAGGGGTCAATCAATTCTCGATGTTTTCAATAATACCTTTGTTCTCTTTGATACTGTCGGGAAGGACTCGGTTTTCGGATCCTTGGAGCTTGGGGCACGTCACCTGGGCTTGTGACTCAGTAGCATCATTGTTCCACCTCACAAGGCCGTGTTAGTGTCAAAATTTGAGCAAGGAAACCGCGATTCAGCGACAGCATGGAGCCCTGTATGCAGTATGGCTGGCCGGCAAGAGCGTCTCATCACTCGACGCTCTACCTCCTGCTCCTTTAGTGTAGTGTGCCGACCAGGCCTCGCTCCTTCCTCCGCGATTCCTCTAGCTTTTGCCCCAATCGAGTTGAAACGCCAGCATCGTTATCAACAGAGACGGCGATTTATTCCCTAATGTTGTACGTACCGATTCGCCACTCGAATTCCGCACCGCACGGTCCAAAAACCGTTGGAACACTGGATTTCGCCATTTTCTCGCTCCAACACCCGCTAGCTACTAGCAGTTGTCAGGGATAGCTTGTTGAAAGTCGGCTGCCGCCCACCCATCTCTTAGCTCCATTTGATCAGGATCGAGGCCGTCCCCTCCCTCCTCCCGAGCGAGGTGTAATAGACGATGGCACGCAACCTCGGGCGGGCCACTCCCTTCCAAGAACCAGTTGGGTCGACCCACTGGTTGACTACTCAACCATCCTCTACGAATAGTATGGGCTAACCCGCCCTCACCCTGAGGATCTGCTCGGGCTGTGCATTTCTCAAAACGAAAAGGAAAAAAAAATAAACCATATGTTTCCGGTCTCCTGGTCAAGGATCTTCTCAAGGACTCTGAGTATTATTAGGCTCAAGTCATGGGAAGGTTCTAAAATAGGGAAGGGTGTTGTGCGGCCCTTGACCGCCGGAGCGCGCGGCGGTGATGAGTCTGGGTTTCCAGGGACCTCACGCTTGTCGGTCAGTGTTGGCATACCGCTCACACATTCACGGGCATATCAATGTTCAAGGCTAAAGACTGCGCCGCGATACCCGCCCCCGACGGGTTGGGTACGCCGAGAGTGGGAGCCCCTCCCAGGAAGAGAAAATCGGAGGGTGTCATCGCCCTTTGCACCAGAGGGTTGGACCAGGGCTCTGCACCCAATCGTTCTGCTCATATGCAGGTGCCGGGTTTCCATGGGACACTGCCCTGCAAGCACCTCAAAGAAATCGCCTCTTAGCGCTTTCACAAAGTCGACAAGGAGGAGACGGTGTCCACGGGTATCGCTGTGTAGGTCAACCCACGGCGGACAGCTCCACGCATGATTGCGCAGCAGGAGAAGACGCGGAGATCACGACAAACGGGTCTCTATTGACTGGAGAACCAGCGGTGATTTTCTTTCTTCTTCTGCCCCTAGGTGGGGGTTGGTTCCGCCTGTTCAATATGAAGCAGCTCGGGGGCATCGAATACTAGGAGACTCTCGCTTCCTATCCCCCACGGAAACCCCCATGCTATGTCTGCCTACCTCCCCCACTGCCCCGAGAGTGAACGGCTCTTCGACCACTGTGCTCGCAGGAGCTCGAGACACCCCCTCTAGATATTAGCGTGATGATGCATCGTGTTGGGTAAGGAGAAGAAAAAAAGAGATCGGTGACTTTTTTTTGTTTTGTTTTTCCTCTTTATGTTTTCTGATCGGTACGTTATCGTTTCGTCGTTCCGATCCCTCCCAAGCGACCAAGCGAGGAGCTTGCAGCTTTCAACCCTGGTAGTGCCCACTGGTGTCCTTTGAGTCACTTGAAATTTTTCCCGTCTGAGAGGAGCTATTATCTGGCTGCCCAATCAGTCCACCGCTTCGGCATCTCCAGCCCAGGCTGGATAGATAGACACCTGACATGGCTCCACGTTAGGTCTCCGCACCCCAGCCCCGACCCCCGGCAGGGCCTGGCCATCGCAGCGACGCCACACCCCAATGCAAGGTATCAAGGTAAAGATAGAAACAGCCAGAGAGACGGAGGTACCCCTCAAAGTCACCCTTGTATACCAGTACATTGCCTGTACCATTTGCCTTCAACCAGTCGCTGTCGCCGCCCAGCTTGCGTCGCCAGGCAACTTCTGAGGGCCTCTCGTCGAGCAGTCGACGTATATACAATGTCGCCTCTCAACTCGCTATTACAACCTGCTTTGTATCTTGAAGTCTTTTCTCTCTTAACCCCCTCTCTTCTCCCTATCCAAAGATCCGGCGTGTGTAAATATCTTTCCTAGACTCTTTTCTTTCTGTATTTTCACCGTCCTAGATCGCTGGTCGAGCATCGCAAGAGAGCCCTTCTCCTCACGGAGCCAGCCTACATCCACCACCACGAACTGCCCCGAGATCCACTCCCGAACCACATCCAGAGACGCGAACGACCTACCGAAGACAAACTTTCTATCTACTCAGTATCTCCGGCGACAATAACTTGGCCAAAGCTTCAATTGTCTTGCCATCTCTTGCCCATCCGCGTGTGGTGCTCCACCACACCTTCACACACACCCAAAAGCCACTAACACCACTTCGCCCGACTCGTCACGACTCCCTTCCCCTCACCCATCCTTTTCGATCGAGTCGCCCACTCACACCAGCGGCCGTCTCGAGTCATTAATATTCTCTCGGTTTTACCTTGCTTCTTTTTTTTTTTTGAAGGCGCCGCGGTATCCTTAGCTTTTCGCGTGGCTTAGGGCATAGCAGCTTCCGTGGTTGCTTCCTCCATTTTCTCCCCATTTCCCTTATTCTGGTTTCCCTTGGTTTTGTTTTGGTGTTCCTATTTCTCCCTTTTTCTCTTTTCTCGCTCACCTCATTATATCCTCTTTTTTCTCCTCCCACGGACGAAGACTTGAGGCTACCAGAGTTGGGAACAGCTGGTATCATCCCTAATTTGACGAGCCGTACCCGAAGGGGGTAACTTAATCTATCTTGCCGACATTGGGCTTCTCGCTGCATTCCTCCTAGAGTCTGGATGCGTGCCCGGTAGGCTAAGGTGAGCACCTCGTCTCGCGCGCGCGCAGAAATTCGCGAGGTAGGCAAATCTTTTTGCTCGTTTTGTCTAAGCTTACTTTGGCCCATCACCGCCTCGATTCACAAGCGCCGGCACTAACACCGCCTTAGACAATTGCTTCACCGCAACTTCAAAGCAGAATAACTTGGATGCGGAGCAAATATTTTGAATTATGACGTCGAAATAGTCATCTTTTTTTTTCTTTGGGAAAGTTTAGGAAGGAACTACATTCGGTCCAACATGTCACAAAGGGTAGGCCCAAGCCCATCTCTCAGACCGGGCAATGCGCCGCCCTCCAGCGTCACCCGGCGCCTGGTTGGGTATCGAAGCACTTCGGAGGAGCCGCGTACTATACCTAGAAGTTTTGAGGCATCCAGATCACAACAGCCTGAGGCGAGACGACCAAACCAGATTACTTCTACTAAAGAGGCCACGCGTATACCCCAGCAGCATACCGCCCTTCTTTCTTCCTCTTCTTCATCATCCTCCTCGGCCTCTGCTAGACGGCCTTCCCTCCCGTCTCAGCCCGCCCGACCGAGACTTGCTCAGCACGGCAAATCTTTTGGTTCAACTGGCTCTGCATCCGCTAGGTCTGCCTCCTATCAATCCTTATCCGGCTCCTCGCTGCCATCCAACCCAAAGGACGCCGGCTTCAAGGCACCGCCAGGCTTGCGGCGGAAGAGGTCTTCGCTGACTCCCAATAGTGAAAGCCAACGAAACAATTCGCGAACCGACTCCACCAGGACGAGTTCCTCGTCATCGTTTTCTAACGGTGGCGGGCGAGCGCGAGACTCGATGGAACAACCAGGCCACGGCCCACACCTTGACCGTGCACTTACAGCAAGCCCTGCGGAGCTACGGACGGCAAAAACCGTCGACCTCTCAAAGCCAACCACCCCGACCCCTTAACTATATATCCCGAGCTTGACCGGTACCGGAATCTCCAACAGCAGGCCCCCGAGCGCCGGACCTTCGACTCTATCCCCAGGCTCAGCACCAATGACCTTTCTCCACCCACGCCCGGATATATATCTGGAACCGGTAGTCAATTAAGTGCCATGAGTGCGAGTCCCTCAACGCGCTTCTCCGAGTCTCCTGGACCTGGCCCCTATAGTCGAGATACTACACCCACCTCCATCGCCTCCCAATCTCCTGGCCTGATTGCGCCCCGAGGGTTTACCCATCCGCGGTTGCGCCAGAACGGCAGCCCCGCACAGACCCGGCCACCGGTCACCAAGAGGAGAGGTGGAAGCTTCTCTGGCGGGGTCAACCCTATAAATGCCGATCCAGATGGACTTGCAGCTGTCCGAGAATCGCTAACTTCTTCATCGTCCAACTCGACGGTCCGCGGTACCGACAAGAAGATCCTCAAGAAGAAGCTCCAGGCGCCTCCGCTGAGCCCCCTCCCCGGAAGTCGTCCGCGAAACAGGTCACGGCCAAAGTCTCCACCACTGCCGAACCTAGCTGGCGGCTGTCTCGCAGCTTTTCCAAGTCCACGGCTAGGTCGCCTTCCCCTACCAAGGCCGTCTCTGCAACCCAACGCATGCAAACACTTTCGCCTCGTGGCACGCCCCTACCAGACCCAGTCGAGACAACACTCCGGACATACAGTCTCAGCTCTGGGAACCTGTTCCGGTTATCCACAGCAATCTGTCTTCCGCAAGCCTGGGCGTTGGCGAGAGGCGGGGTAGCGAGCCTGCACCGTCCTCTCTTCCTCGATCCACCACTCCGTCATATCAGCCCCGCCGCCCCTCCGCCCAGGATACGGTGCCCGGTGCTAAAACCGGCTCTGTGGGCACGAGCAAGATTACAAAGCCCGATCCCAATAGGCCAACGCGGACTCCTAGCCCGAATGTATCAACCTTCAATTCTCGTTTCAATTTCTTTAGCCGGAAGAAGACGCCTACTACTGAAGCCGCGCCAACCGCCAAGAAGGACAAGGCAGACAAGGGAGCTAGGAAGGGACCGGCAGCTGGGACCGGCCACGAGGGCTATGGTCGCTTGGGGAATATACGGCGTAGAAGCAGCGGCGCTCTCAATAACGCACGGCCAGCCCCTGGTTTTGCGTCTTCGCAAGAAAGTCTTGCGAATGGGCCGCAGTTCAACGACCCGTTTCTCCGAGACAGGATGAACCCAGTCATCATTTCTGGGGGTGAAATCATCGACAATCAAAACACGGGTGGTAGCGAGCTTGGTAGATCAGAGAGCAGCCAGAGTTTTGCCAGCCATTCTCGACAACGCAGCAACGATTCCAAATTCAGCTCCGAAATGTCCACCACTTCTGCCGCAACGGAAGATCGGAACACGCTCTGGCCTTCGGCTTTCCCAAGCCCCAAACAACTCACACAGTTCGGGGTATGCCCCGGGGCCGCCGCCCCTCGGAGAGCAGTGACGATGAGCGACTGAATATGAAGCGAACGCTCGCCTTCAGGAGGTCGCAGCAAAGGCTGCGAACCTCTCCCGAGCAAACGCCAATGAGATTGCCACAGCCCATCAACACTAGGGTATTGCACCGTCGCCGCTTACGAGTGTAGAGACCCACATCTTCACGGATGACTCCGCTGCAGAACTCCAGCCCGAGATCTCACAAGGGCCCAAGCTCAGTGTACCGCAACCTAGGAAGTTGACGAAGCCGGCCAAGTCGCCACGCAAATGGAACCTCTTTAGTCGCACCCATAATCAAGCGGCGGCTTCCCAAGAACCAAAGGTCGAGGTTACCGCAACGGTCAAGATTGTACAGACTAAGAGCGTACCGTTTTACGCCATGATGGACTCTTCAGAGCAAGAGGACGCTGGCGAAGAGCTAGATGTTATGGACGTGCTCCGTAGCGCAGAAGTATACGAGCCATCTTCTCCCCGTGCTCAAGAGGCGCACAAGGGACATCAGAGGAGAGCATCGGCTGCCAGAACTCCGGAGCCCATGGTCTTGGGGAGCCGGGCGGCTCAACACTACCAATCACCACCTCCTCCTGAGGCCCCACGACGCGTGGCGGCCCCGGCCCCGGCGCCGACCCCAGCCCCATCCTTACCGCAGCCTCGATCGCGCATCATGGCTTCTACTCCCGCACGGCCCCAAGTGCAGAATCCTAGGGGGCGGTAGCGCCTGCGAAACAGAGCCGCCTACCCCAAGTGGGTCGCATCCCCAAAGTAGTGAGCACACGCCCAGAGCAGCAGACCTCGCCCAAGAGCTTCTCAAGGCCGTTTAACCGGTTGAGCTTCCAAGCTCCGAAGCGGGTCTCAGCCTCTCTAGACCGGGACTCTACAGGCACGGGCACCAGCTCGGCCATTGGCAAGGCCCTGACCCCGGACCTAACGATGCAGGAATCCACGGTGACGAGCGGGTCCCGGGAGTTATCGTTATCGCCAGATATTGTTGACGGCGGTAAAGAGTTTCTTGCGTTCTCTCCGCGAAAGAATTCGGTAGCTACGACGTCTTCGTCAAGCTGCGCGTCTGGCATCTATACGGTGGTGGACACCACGGCCGTGATCCCTTCCCCAAGCGCGCCTCTTGCGGAAGATGAAATTTGGGACGAATACAATGACTTACTTGGGGATGTCACGCTCAAGGGCCTCGCATTCGCAACGGCACTTCCCAAGAAGACAATGACTATTCCGATCAAATATCGAACGAACAAGGGCCCAGCCATGGTTCCCGAGTCCCCCACTATAATCATGGGACCGACAAGGAGACTGCCTCAGCTTCCTACCCCAAAGGTTGACCGAGAGAATGTCGTCTCTACCGTGTACAGCTGCGATGACGAGGATGATGAGGACGACTACGACGAAGGTGAAAAGCAGGATGAGAGTCGTCGTTATGATTCTCGTCTCAAAATCCCGATTGCGGAGGCCAGCCCGACGACACCATTTTCTGTTTCTCGGTTTGTCGAGGGATACGGTGACCGTAACAACAGCGCAGACCACATGTCAGTCAAGATAGACGCGCCGGCGGTGTCCCAGCGAAACAGCGGGGCTTCTGGAAAATCGACAGGATCCACAGGCAGCGGCAACAGCAAAAGCTCAGAGGAAGAGACACCGCTGGCACAGGTCAACCTTCGTGTGGGTTCGATGACTGTGAGTAAGTGGCTCACATTTGGCCACGTGCTGTTTAGCCCCGCTCGGGAGGAGTTGATGCTCGAAGGCGCTTCCCGCGAAAGAACTCGGTCCTCGTCGTGGACGGGCTCGGCAACGACGACTGGTCGTTTTATGCGGCCGAGACATACCCGGGAGCCAGCTTCTTCAACCTTTCGCCGCGGGCCCCCATACCTGAGGACAGGCGAACCTCGGCTGCCTTCCCACTCAGCCCGGCCAACCACTTCCAGATCCAGTATACGTCGCATCTCAGCAAGTTCCCTTTTGGCCCAGAGACGTTTACCTCGGTAGTTTTCCGCTTCCCTCCCGCAGCGCCGGAGTCGCACTACCGCAACATCATTTCGGAAGCCCATCGAGTACTCAAGCCAGGCGGGCACATTGAGCTGTCCATTCTCGACGTTGATCTCAACTACATGGGCAACCGCGGACGACGCACCATTCGCAGACTCAAGGAGCAAATCCACACAAGCAACGCAAACGTCAACCTCGCGTCAACGGCCGATGTCATGGTTCGACTCCTCGGAAAGAAGAACTTTGCGGATATCAAGACGTGCCGCGTAGGAGTGCCGGTAGCCAGTTCCATCGCGCGCGCCAACAATGCCAGGGCGGCGTCAGCCGAGTTTGCGTCGAGGCCCAACGGCCACGATCAGAGCAAAGGCAAAGGCAAGGCGACGAAGACGATTGGCGAGCAGCGCAGCCTCGCGGAGATGATGAACGACGATAGCGAACTGGCTGACGAGAGCATTGCTAAAATGGTCAGCAAAGTGGGACGCTGGTGGTACTCGCGGTGCTACGAGAGTGTGGTAGCACCGGGGTCCGGCTCCCCTTCTGGATCGAAGAAGACGAGCATTTGGAGTGACAAGGCGCTCATGGCGGAGTGCGAAGAGTTGGGGACGAGCCTCAAGCTCATGGTTTGCTACGCGCGGATTCCCGACAAGGGAAACCGCGTAGCGAGCATCTAGACAACCGAAATTGCATCACTCACAACCATTATTACCATTACCATTACCATTACCACGACTACTATTACAACTTGACGACCGTTACCGATTATGAGGATCCAGCATTACGCATTTTTGCTTTTCTGCTTTCTTGCACAATGGGGAACAACCTTTTTGTTTTCATATCGCATCAGCCATTTTTCATTCCGCGATTTTCACGTTGGGAAAATATCCATAAAGCGCGAGCCTCTTCTTTTTATCCCCCGCCAGTTATTTGTCTACTTTTATATTTTTCATACGACTCTTGCGCATTACAAGACTAGAGACCCTCGTGGGGACTCTTACGCACCGCCCAGCACTTGCTGCCGGTGGCATCTTTTTTCCCCCTTCATACATGAGCCAAAGGAGAGGGCAGCTGATCGTCGGGACGAAGACAGCACGGCGATGGCGCACTGGAGAAGGCGTTCTCATTCCCAGGGGCGAGATTGATATCTCAGCCCCGGGAGTGGGGAAGGGATGGAGGATTCTCAACCAAAGGCTCCCGAAAACTTGCTCTTAGCTTGTTCTAATGTTGAAGGGTGCTTGACATGTCCTGGTTCCTGAGATGTCAGCCCCTCGTGTACCATTACCGGGCAAGGCTTACCACAGTGGCCTCACATATTTTTCTCCTCTTTGCTTTTTCCCGCTTTTTATTTTTGTCCAGGCTTCTCTTTCACACACACACTAACGGGCTAATGTTTGAAATTGTTGCCTTATCCCCACTCGCGTCCTCTGGTCAGGAAACAAGCTCTTGTGGCACTCGGATTCGTTTAGTCTACCTGGGAAGAAAGGGGCTTTGGTTGGGAAAGAAAGGGACAAGGGCTAATTCTTTTTGCCAGGAGAGAGAGGATGGGAAGAAAGCGAACGGAACGACTTGACGATGACGGCACCAAAAACATAATGATGATGGGGAACTGGATTTCTTTGCATCGCGTTTTTATTTTCATTTTTGCCTTTTGAAAGGAGGGCAAGGGAGTCTGTTTCCTGTTGGATCTAGCGCGGCCATTTGTTAGCTGTGCGGTGGAGGAGAAGGAGAGGAGAGGGAGAGACATGAGCCAAAGGGGAAGCGAGAAGCGAGCTCGGGATTGCCTTGCTATTTTGATCCGTCCAAACGATATAGATACCCAAATGAACCAATCTTTTTCTTCTTCATAACATGAAATTTCACCGTGAAAACAAACGAAATGTGTCTGGCCGGTCACCAAAAGTTAGACCTCGAGGACGTAACCACTTGTTCGTCAAAGGGAAGCCTCGGGCAGGTCTGCCTCCCTCTGCAGGTGGCCGTGGAACGGTCTCACCGTCGCTCTACAGCCGTTCAAGGGGGCCCCGTGTTTTCCCGGGGCAGAGCGTTGTTTTGGTGGGGATCGCACGGGGGTGGGGCGATGCAAAAAGTGGGGGTGGGAACGGCGGCGCGGGAACCCCGGGAATCAAGGCCGGGAGGACATGCCGGAAGAAAGACTTGTGTTTTCTCTTCAACATGGTCTGAGCGAATAAGAAGTTGCTGATAAGAAAAGGGTCACGGGCCTTAGGTCCCGGCCCAAGCTGTCGGCGTCTTTCTTGAGGCTTGAAGCCGAAAGGGGAAAGATTGAAGGTCGTCAGGTTCGCGATGATGTCCACGTTTCTTGGTTAAAAGTTTGGTAGCATAAGAGCCTGAAAGTCTTTTTAAATAAAGAAAAAATCAACGTGAACATTCTGACCTAGACACCTTTCCTTCCAAAACAAATTGGCTATTGTAGATACCCGCCCAAGAACAGACAGAAAATAGGCCACCGCCCATATGACCTGTGAAAATAAAGGACGAGACGAGATAATAGCAAGCATAACCGTTTTAACCCGTCCGTATATCCAATAAACCCTCCCATGATCATTCAAAGTAACCAAAAGAAACCAAGAAAATATTCGCATACGCCGCACACCCTTAGCGGGTCCATGGAACGACTCCGTTGGTTCATCCACTTCCATCACCCGTTTACCGTCTTATTCAGTGCGTTATCTCTCTCCTACACACGCACGCCCTCCCTCAACTGATACTTGACCAAAACTGGCTTCGTGGGTCTGTGAACCTGGTGCTTAGATCGGTCAAATAGGTCTGGCGTCGCAGTGATGGGCGCGCCCTGGGCATCAACGAGGTGGTAATCAAAGTGGGCGACAAACATGGAGATCATGGCGGCCATCTCGAGCTTGGCGAACTACACAAGAATTGAAGAGGCTTGGGTTAGAAACTATACGAGCAGAGAAGGAGGGCGAAAGGAAGGAAGCCGAGGAAACTGGGAAGAGAAAATTTGAGCTTTTGTGCGGCTCTGATCAAGACTTACCCGTATGCCCACTGATATCCCAAAAGCAGGTTGTTAGCGACGACAAAAGTCCTTGGAGAGGGCTCCGATGTGTGAGGGGAAAGGGGAGCAAAAGGGAACTTACAACACGGATGGCGGCCGCTACCCCAGCCAATGTAGCCGTGGGCGCTAGCCTTTTATCCTCTGCGCGGCCCTCGAGGAATCGATCGGGGTCCCACGTTTCAGGGTCCTTGTAAACATTGGGATTTAGGTGGACATCGTCGAACAAGTAGACCTATAAACCCACATCCAGGCGGAAAGAATGGCCGAGTCATTAGCTCCTTGTTACTTTCTCCCACATTTCTCTTCTTTTCTTCACATCTTGTGTGCAGTTATTTGGCCTCATTTTCTCTCGCCCACGCCATGGCCGTGGTCGGGGATATGGACAGCAACTTACCGCAAAAGCACCAGCTGGCACAATCTCGCCCGTCTCCCCAATCACGACGTCTCGGTCACTCGAGTTCTGCCTGAACCCGCAGCCGACAATGGTGAGGCGGATTGTCTCACGTAGGGCTATATCGAGCAGGGGAAACTCAACCTCCCAATCGTCAAAGTTTAGGGTCGAGAGGACATCGGCGGGGGACTGTTCTGGTGAGGAGCGGTGGCGGCGGATGACATTGTCGACCTCGTCGCGTATGAGATCACGCCAGCGGGTGTTCTGGCCGAGGTAACAAAGGAGCCAAGCGGCGTTATAGCCCGAATTGACCTGGCCGGCGAAGAGGGCGGCGATGACGACCTAGGGGAAAGGAGCAAGTTTTGGGTTAGTTGGTTGTTTTCACTCTAGTGCCTAGATGAAAAACAAGGCAATGGAGGATGCTGGCAAGACAAGTGCCGCCCCGTTATAGCTAATCCCATGAAGGGGGCTTACCGCGATAATGTCCTTCACATCCCACTTCTGATCAATCAGCACCTGCAGCGGATCATCATGCCTAACTCCGTCTCTAGCGCGCGCGTCGATAATCTTCTTGAACAAGAGGTACATCTTGGTGCCCGCCCACAGCCTACGTAGGTGGCCCGGGGTAGTCATCCATGAGGGGACGAGCAGCTTGCCACCGGCACCAGCCGAGTCGATGCCCTCAAAAATGGCAAGGGTCTCGGCTAGCAGAGCGGGGTCGCCGGCGATCTCGGCGCAACCCACGGTGCGCATAGTCAGCTGGTAGACGAGCCTGTAGAGGTCATCGAAGGGATCGACGATAGCTGTAGCCGTAGAGGAGGAGGAGGAGGCGGATATGCGAGAGGCGAGGCCATCGATCGTAGCGCGTGCGTCGGCGATGAGTTGGGGGTGAGGGAGATGAGGTTCTCCTTGCGCATGAACTTGACAAGGGACTTGCGGATTCGGGTGCCAAGCTGGACACGCTCTTCAGTGGTCACCTCTGGGGCGGCGTTGAAGAGGGTCGAGTAGCTATATTTGTTAGAATACTCTGTTAGCAAGGGAAGCTGATTCGTCATGTAGTACGAGGTTACTCCACGGAGCTGGCTCGGTTCTACACAGCTCGGCATTTCTCCGGTCTGCAGACGACGGCAAAGCCCCGAACCAGCAGACTATACAAAAGACGTGCAAGAAAGAAGGTGGACATACCCGCCATCGATATCCAAGTCCCTACTATCGAAAAACGTTCTCCTTCCGTCATCCCCAGATAAACCAACGATCCTGTGCTTGCCATAGTAGAAGCTCCCTGGCCCGAGGCACTCGCGCCGGCAATCTCCTCGAGAAAGGCCTTGCGATCAGAGAAGAATCGCAAGGCGCCGACGACGGGCCAAGCAGCGAAGACGGGCGGGGCCTTGAGGGGAAAGGCAGGGCGGCCGGCGAGGCACGAAGAGCCGGTGGCGTAGGCAGCGGCGGTCAATATGAGGACCCAGGCGGTGGTGGGCCAGGAAGAGGGATGCGAGAGCGCGGTGAGGAGGTCTGGGAGGGAAAGCATGGTGGCGAGGGCTTCCGCAAACGGGAGAACTGGTACTCGGAGGAGTTTACGCTGAGGCGAAGGGAAAAGGAGGAAGCGGAGCGAGGGCAGAGCGGTTGCTGATATTAGTCTCGCGAGCTCATTGCTTGTGATGCCAGGATGAATGAAGACGTATTTCAAATGTGGAAATCGCAGCGGGTGCGCGGAAAAGCTTATTGTCGATCCGCGAGATCTGGGCTCTCCTCGGAAGAATTAAGAAGTGTGGAAAAAAGGCCCCTCCAGTGACGAAGAGAAGGGGAGGGGATCCAAGTTCTCTCAGCGGGATGTAGGTATATTTACCAAGAGTGTATTATCTCAAAGTCGCCCACGGGAAAAAGAAAAGGGCAACGAAATTGCAAGCTCAGGCTGAACGCGACGCAGAAACGAAGCAAGGGACAAACGAGGAGGAATGGATGAGAAGGAAAAGAAGCCGGGGGAAAAAAGAGAACAAGAGAAAGAAAGGAAGAAAAAAGGGCAAGAGCGAAGAAGATCGCCCTCTCAAGCTCGAGACGATATTAAATGCAAACGCACGCACGCACGCACCGCACACACGCGGCGCAAACACGCAGATAACGCTCCGAACGGGCCGTTGGGAGCAACAGCTTTGAAATGCCAAAAGGAAAAGCTTCCTCCTGCCCCCATCCCGCCGTTACTTCCAACCAAACGCAACGCGGGTCCGCCGGGAGAAGGGGAGGGGCCAAGGAGCCTGACCGCAAGCCAGAGAGAGCTCCATCCGGATCCCTTGAACCTCCCCCTCCTCCCCCACAAGCCCAACTACTACAACCCTCTCTGCCAGTCTACTTCCCTCTCGATCCAGCAACCAACACATACATGCCCATCTCGGACATCGGGCCATCTCTCTCTCCCCTTACGGAGCCGCCAACCCCCGACCCGCAGGCTGCGTCGTTGCTAAGCGAAGCGGCGAGAGAGCCAGCTGAGAGAGCTCCAGCATTTTCGGCCAAACACACTCAAGAAGACGACCGCCTCCCTCGGACCATCGACCTTCCGGGCTCGCTCAATCCCCCAGGAAAGCAAGCAAACAAACAAAAACCAAGGCACAACCCCCAAAGGCTGGAAGCCTTCCCCTACAAGTAAAAGAGACTAAAGAAAAGTCCCCGCAAATTTCTATTTTGGTAATCTCAAAGTGTCGAGCACGAAGACAGGGAAAATAAAAAAAGGTCCCAAGCGCCAGGAATGCGCAGAGGATTGTTCGGAGAGGAGCTTCCATGAAACATTGGTCCCGTTCAAAATGCTGCAGGGGAACGCTAAACCCCCATCGCCTCTCTCGTCTCTCGCTCCATCCCAAGCGTTTTTGGGGTTCAAAAGTGGGGTTCTTTTCCCTCCGTGCTTTGTTCCCCTTCTCACCTGTGACACCCTCCGCTGCTTATCCCACCCCCTCGCAATGACGAATAGGAGCTCCTTCGATTCGATTTACCCTTCTCGATTGACATGCCTACGCTAGGCAGTGTGTAAGAGCGTGTGTATGTACGGCCTGCTCGCCCTACGCCATCTTCGGCCGGGAAAAAGGTTTCCGAAATAAAGGTAGGGAATGGAGTAGAGAGGAACTTTTACCATCTGTGACGATCGAAATTTCACCAACCTCGCTCGATACATTGATATGCTAGAGGCCTTCTTCATCCGAGCATCGTGAGCTCGGCTGAAGGGGAGCTTGGGGAAAGATGCTCTGGTCTTCAGAGTTGCTCAATGGCCCCTTAACTTCAGGATGGGGATTTAATGGAGAAAGCAATTGGCAAGATACAACGTTGTTGGAGGACGTACGAAGTAGCAGCGAATGATTTATTGGACCAATCGCTGTGGTAGGATTACATGGGCGATGCTTCATTGGCGACGGTGAGCAGACAGATCAATCAGCTCCGTGCATTTATGTATTATTTACTGCTGCATCAAAACATCACCGTGGACATTATCACTTGGTCAAATTGTCATGTTTCTACCGAGTAGACTTGGTTGTTTTTCAACTATTTCATTGAGAGTCCATCTACCTCATTATCATAAAACGACCGGAAAAACTATGAGTACAATTCGACATTTGTATCCTTCTCGCTGGCATACCGAGAAGAGCAAAAGCAAAGTCAAATAATAAAAAAGAACTAAGACCCGTCAAAACTCCATTAAGACTGTGGCTCCTCGTTTAGAAAAACAAGCGTGAGCCAACAAGTTCCTTCCCGCCGTGCGTTACCATTTGTTCCGTTTTGAAGTCCGCCCGATTTTTTGTTCCTTCTTTGGTTTCATCCGCTGCCCATTTAGTCAACCTCCTCCATGGCGCTGTCGCCAGTCTCGGCAGCCGTGGCGCCTGCCTCGGCGGTCTCCTCGTCCGTCTTGGCCTCGTCCTCAATGTTGAGGCCAACCTGCACGAGCTTGTGGATGCGCTCGGCGAAGCTGGCGGGCTCGTCAATGGTGAAGCCAGAGACGAGAAGAGAGGTTTCGTAGAGGAGCTGCACAATGGACTTGACAGTGCGGTCGTTCTCGCCGTCAGACTCAACCTTGCCCTTGAGCTCCTTGATAATGGAAGACTTGGGCGAGATCTCAAACGTCTTCTTGGACGACATGTAGCTCGACATCGACGTGTCACGGAGGGCCTGGGCCTTCATGATACGCTCCATGTTAGCAGACCAGCCAAACTGGCCGGTACGGATGGCGCAAGGAGAGAGGCCGAGCTTGTGGCTGACAACAACCTTCTCGACCTTGTCGCCGAGAATGTTCTTGAGAGCCTTGGCAAGGGCCTCGTACTCCTTCTCCTCCTCCTCGCGAGTCTTCTTCTCCTCCTCGGTTTCCTCGAGCTCGAAGTCCTTGGTAATATCAACAAGCTTCTTGCCCTCGTACTCCTTGAGCTGAGTCATGGCATACTCGTCAATGGGGTCAACAAGGAAGAGAACCTCGAAACCCTTCTCCTTGAGGGAGTCGAGGAAGGGAGACTTGGTGACAGCCTTGAGAGACTCGCCAGTGATGTAGTAGATGTTCTTCTGGTGCTCGGGCATGCGAGTAATGTAGTCGGCGAACGACGTCTGGTCATCACCCGACTTGGTCGAGTTGAATCGGAGAAGCTTGGCAAGGGTGCCGCGGTTCTGCGAGTCTTCGTGGATGCCGAGCTTGATGTTCTTGCTGAAGGCAGAGTAGAACTTGTCGAACTGCTCCTTGTCCTCCGAGATCTCGGTGAAGAGCTCCATCGACTTCTTGACAATGTTCTTCTTGATCACCTTCATGATCTTGTTCTGCTGAAGAGTCTCACGAGACAGGTTGAGGGGAGATCCTCAGAGTCCACAACACCCTTGACGAAGCTGAGCCACTCGGGAACGAGGTCGGTGGCGTCGTCGGTGATGAAGACACGGCGGACGTAGAGCTTGATGTTGTTCTTGGTCTTCTTGGTCTCGAAGAGATCAAAGGGAGCACGCTTGGGGACGAAGAGAATGGCACGGAACTCGAGCTGACCCTCGACCGAGAAGTGCTTGACCGCAAGGTGGTCCTCCCAGTCGTTGGAGAGCGACTTGTAGAAGGAGGCGTACTCCTCCTGGGAGATGTCCTGGGGGTTGCGGGTCCAGATGGGCTTCTGCTTGTTGAGCTCTTCCTCCTCAATCTTGGTCTCCTTGACCTTCTTGGTCTTGGGCTTCTTCTCCGCCTCCTCGTCCTCGTCATCGACCTCCTCGACCTTGGGCTTCTTGTCATCGTCCTCCTCAACCTCCTCGGCCTCCTCATCGGGCACCTCGGTCTCAATCTCCTTCTGGACGTGGAGGTAGATGGGGTACGAGATGAACTCGGAGTGCTTCTTGATTACATCCTTGACGCGGGACTCGTTGAGGTAGTCAGTCTGCTCATCCTTGAGGTGGAGGATCATCTTGGTACCGCGGCCGAGCTGCTCACCCTCGGTATCGGGGATGATGTTGAAAGTGCCACCGGCGCTGGACTCCCAGATGTACTGCTCATCGTCATTGTGCTTGGAGATGACAGTCACCTTGTCGGCAACGAGGTAGGCAGAGTAGAAACCAACACCAAACTGACCAATCATGGAGACGTCAGCACCAGCGGTGAGGGCCTCCATGAACTGCTTGGTGCCGGACCTGGCAATGGTACCAAGGTTGTTGACCAAATCCTAGAAGAAAGACATCCATGTTAGTCACCAACAAAGTAAGAGGGATGATGGCTTCTAGAAACTTACAGCCTTGGTCATACCGATACCTGTATCACGGATAGTGAGGGTCTTGTTCTCCTTGTCGGGAATAATGTCAATCCTCAGATCCTTGCCCGACTCGAGGACGGAAGGATCCGAGAGGGACTGGTAGCGGATCTTATCGAGGGCATCGGAAGCGTTGGAAACAAGCTCTCGAAGGAAGATCTCCTTGTTGGAGTAGACGGTGTTGATGATGAGGGAGAGAAGCTGAGAAATCTCAGCCTGGAACTCGAAAGTTTCAGACATTTTGACGGGTATCTGTGAGGGGGACTTGGGGTCTGTAAATATCGAATCCTTGTTAGCGATTGAATTCTCACTCTCACACGGTCGATGAGTATGGCCAGATGATGTAAGAAAAAAATATCCCGAGGAATTCGAACTCGATGCGGGGTGAGGGCAGCAGCAAATGAAGATTTTTGGGGAAGAGGAAAAAAAAAAAGTTCAAGAAAACTGGTGGGGACGCAAGGCGAATTGAAGAAAAACTTAATCCGCCACACCAGGCAAGCACCGAGAAGGCGCAGCCCTCATCGGCTAGCTCTTTCCTGATACCAACAAGAAACTAGCCGCCCAGTATCTCTTGGTGCGACTGGTGAAGCCGCCCTCCAACTGCCCCAAGACTTCTGGCTTGCTGTGACCGAGAAGCCAAACAAGAAGCCAATGACTAGGAACCCGGACGGCAAGAAAAGATGGTGCTGGCGAGAGGAGAGAAGGAAAAGAGGAATACGACGAAACGACCCAGGGCGGGATCAATGGGTTGCCAACTTACATCAAAGGAAGTAATATGAAAGAAGCTTCGGATGCCAGACAGAGAGCCTGATTTCCGAATGGTCAATGGGATAGGCGGGGAAGAGAAAGATGAATGTTGAAGTTGCTTGGAAGAGGGGGAGGGGGAAAAGGAGCAAGAGAGCTTCAAATATATTCCAGAGGGGAAGAGGGAGGATGATTGGGAAATGGAAGGAGAAGGAAAAAAAAGTCAAACGAGCTGGGAAAGGTGGAAAGCGCCTTAAAAGTCTTCTCAAGGGGTTGGTTGCTCCTCCCCTCCGCCTCTCCTCTACGACCTTGTCCGCTTGTGCTCCGTGCCTGGCAATGATTCCACGGGATTCTATCGCTGAGAGAGCTTCGAGAGCCTTCTCACCAAAAAATTTGGCCACCATAGCAACCAGCTGTTTTTTGATTGGCTGGATTTGGGGAAGCTTAGGACATAGTGGGGAAGGGTGAGGGGGAATCGGAGTGCAGAGGTCGCAGCCCAAGGATGAACTGTGGTACCGCCCCAAATGCCAATGTTCCCCCACAAAGCAAAGCCTCTTCCTCAAGACTGCATGGCCCTCATACTATTTTGTGACTACATTGACTACATGCCGCTGCCTAGCGAGCCTAGACCGCCCCGTTGATCGAGAACGGATCAATCGCATGTACATACTTCAATGCCTTATCCCCCTCACCAGGGCATAAGTCACTTTGACCCAGAACAGAAGTGGGCCCCGAAGCCTTCTAAAAGGAAAAAAGATTTCAACTTTAGTGACAAAACCCCTAAGCGCCGAACAGAGGAAAGGAGAGACGCCAAAAGAAAGTGAAAGATGAAAACCAAAAGAGCGAGAACAGAAAGACGTAGAACGGCCGGTGGGGGGGCGGGGGCCCACTACGGGTACGAGAATCTTCTGCAAGACCTCCGGCGCCTGCTGTAATTTTCTACGACATTCCATCCGAGGCGGACCCTGGCGGGAAGCAAGGAGGGTGAGCTATAGCAGATGAAGAAGGCTACGGAGAACTCGAGAATGGTGGGGGAAAGGCCTTCGGTTCGTTTCATTCCTTCCCCTCTAAAGTCTCAAAACTCGGCTACCCACGATCCTTCCAGATGAGTTCACCGGATCGGTTTAGGAGAGATCAAAAGTAAAGTAGACGAAACGTAGAAGGGTTCATCACGGTGTATATTGATCAGTTGATGTACAAGCTCGGGTACATGCCCCCCCGAATGCCTTCCCTTCACCTTACTACATTTTCGACCCTAGAGGATGGCCTAGGTATGCATGCATGCATCCAATTCGGCGCTGGTTTTACTAGGAGGCCAACCAGAGGGCGCTTCAATTGGCCCCCTCATTCCAGCCAGGCGAGGCTGACAGCAGCACCTTTCGGTGCCTGACCATGCAGCCCGGACAAGTGTAAATTGATCAGAGGGAAGAAAAAGGAAGCGAGTAGAGTGAAGGAGAAGAAAAATGCCCGTCGTTGCGCCCGAGCGCGCGCTTACAGCTGAGTTGGTCTCAAGGTGCGATCCATCCCTTCCGTATCCGGTTGAGGATACTTTTTCGCATGCCTCTCAAGAATTTAAGTTCCAATTACGGGTGGGAAGGCTTGAGGTTCGGATACAAGCGATTTCCAACCTTGCTCGCTCCGTTGGTACTTCGTACATAACGCAGTTTGCCTCGATTTTGGTGCTTCCGTTTTGGGAGGAGGCTTGTTTGTCTTGGTCTCTTTACCCGATAATCTGCCGGAAGAAGCTCCCCCACCCTCGTTGGAAAGAACGAAGGCCACCCGGAAAGCTCGAGCCAATTGGCCCTTTTTTTCACATGCAAGCACTTCTGGTGCAGGTGCTGGCTTGCTCCCCTTACGCGGAAATGCCAGGTACCAAACACAGGTCTGGGGAATAAAGGCCAAGAAGCAGCCACCCACACAAACCAAACCTGGAACCCGACTCAAACTCCACCCATCACCACCCACCCTTCATCACCAAGCTCCTCTATCTCGCGCCTTCTCCTCCATCTCCGAGGGAAACGACACACAGCTGGCGCCGTTCGTCGTTTCGGCAAATGTTCATCCCAGCTAGGATTTAGCTCTTTCGCACACGTCCGCGACCGCCGCCGCCACCACCGCGAGTTCCATCTTCCCGGCCTATCCATCAGAATGGAGAGATTTAGTCAGTTCCGGGACAAGGGTAAGTAACGATAGGCCCTTTTTTTCATCTTGTTTTCTTGTAGAAGGGAGGGGTTTTCTCCTATTCTGTCCGGCCCTACCATCGACTAGTTTACGTGTGTCTTGCATCGCGCAAACCGCAAATACATATATATCTGCAAAAGGACACAAAAAAAACGCAAACCGATGCTAACTGATTCAAGGTTCCGGTATATCGCCCTTCCTCCCTATCCACACCCCTCTCTCGCTCCCCACCCGCTTCCTACACCTCTGCGTCTTCGCCGTCCGCTTGCCCTTCTTCCTCGCCTACGCCGTCCTGTACTTCGTCTTCCTGGTACATGTGCCCGTCCCCGCCCTGCGCAAGCTCTTCCTATGGGTCTTCATGCTCATCCCGGGCCTCTGGTGGGTTGACCTCCAGATGGACGGCGTCCGCCGCGGTACCCTCGCCGACCAGCCCCCGACCGCTTCCCCACCCGGGTTCCGTCGTCGCCGCCAACTTCACCTCCCCCGTCGACCCTCTCTACCTCGCCGCCGTCTTCGACCCCATCTTTGTCATCGCCTACCCCGGCTCCCGAGCCGTCCGCCACGTCTCCCTCTTCCACGCCGTCCTCCACGCTCTGTCCCCTATCCGCTTCGATCCCCCAAGTCCACCTCCTCCTTCTTCGGCCGCACCGACCTCGCCACCCTCCTCAAGACCTACCCCAATCGCATTATTGCCGTCTTTCCCGAGTGCTCGACAACCAACGGCAAGGGCATCCTGCCCCCGAGCCCCTGTCTCCTCGACATCCTCCCGCACGCACATCTTCCCCGTCTCCATCCGCTACACCCCCGCCGACGTCACCACCCCCGTCCCCGGCCGCTGGATCTCCTTCCTTTGGAATCTCCTCTCCCAGACCACCATATGCATCCGCGTTCGCATCGCCGAGAGCATCCACAATGACTCCCCAGAGATAGCCCTGGTGCCCCTGTAACCACAATCTCGTCCGACGAGCGCAGGATCCTAGATAAGGTGGGCGAAGCTCTCGCTAGACTGGGGAGGAGCAAGAGGGTCGGGCTCACGCTTAAAGACAAGGACAAGTTTGTCAAAGCGTGGAAGAATAGGTCCTAGAACCCCTTTTCTTACCCAACCCCCTGCTCCCTTCCCTTTATTTTTCTTTTGCGGACGTTTCGGAGATCGCGGACCGTGTGGAACCGCGAGTCAAACAGATGAAAGAGTGAAGGACGCCCGCTCTCCTTCGTTTGTTACATACATGGAAAGTTGCTACTGGCCGGAGGTTGTTCTTGTGCGAGTTTTTGTCCTTGTCTGGGAAAGGAAAAGAAGAGAGGTCATGATTCTTCCGCCAGATTGATTCTAATGAGGCATGTCGTATGATTGATTTGTTTCTGGTTGCGCGTCGTTACTTTAGACCTCTTGGCATGTTACCACGTTCATATAATATATATATATATATACACATTTCCCTTCACGGGCTAATTGGCACGACATCTTCTTCACAATGGTGCAAGTTAAGAGAAAGCAGTTTTTATTCATCTAATTGCGCCGATACCCTATCCAAGGCAGCGATGATATGACACAATCCTGACCATTGAACCCTCCTAGGAATCCAAGGAGCCCGAAGATTACGAAAGAAAGAAAGATACCGTAAAAGAAAAGGGAAAAGAACAAAAAAGGACCCTAGAAAGAAGCAAAATATAAAACAGAAAATGAAGACGCTGCCCATGGGGCAAATGCACCCTGTATAAGCATTGACGCTCCCCAGTCAAAAGGCCGTCCCGTCACGCTCGCCGCCCATTGCATCCCTCACCAAGACACACCCATTTCCTCATGGTTTCTCACGTACGCGTGTTTAAAGACGGCCAGCACCATCCGTCACGCAGCCGTGGGAGGCGTCGCTGACAAGAGAAGCATACTTCTTGAGAGTGCCTCGAGAGTACTTGGGCTCGGGCTTCTTCCATTCCGTCTTCCTCCTCGCGAGTTCCTCGGCGCTGACATCAAGATCCATGACATTCTCCTCGGCATCGATGGTGACCTCGTCACCATCCCTGACGAGGGCAATGGGGCCGCCCTCCATGGCCTCGGGAACAACGTGGCCAATAAGGAAACCGTGGCTACCACCGGAGAATCGGCCATCAGTGATGAGCGCGACATCCTTACCGAGGCCGGCGCCCATGATGGCAGAAGAGGGCTTCAACATCTCGGGCATGCCGGGGCCACCCTTGGGACCCTCGTAGCGGATGATGACGACAGTCTTCTCACCCTGCTTGATCTCGCCACGCTCCAGAGCGGCAATGAAGTCATCCTCGGCATCGTAGCACTTGGCCTTGCCGACGAAGCGGAGACCCTCCTTACCGGTGATCTTGCCGACGGAGCCACCGGGGGCAAGGGTACCACGGAGAATCTGGAGATGACCAGTAGGCTTGACAGGGTTGTTGAGGGCCTGGACGATCTTTTGGCCCTCGGTGAAGTCAGGATAAGCCTCGACGTTCTCCTTCATGGTCTTGCCGGTGACGGTCATGGTGGAGCCGTCAATGAGGCCCTCGCGGATGAGGAACTTGAGAAGGGCGGGGGTGCCACCAATGTTGTGGAGATCCTCCATGACCCACTTGCCTGAAGGCTTCAGATCGGAGAGGACGGGGTCCTGTCAGAGACGGCCTGGAAATCATCAATCGTGAGCTTGATACCGGCGGCGTCGGCAATGGCGATCAAGTGAAGAACGGCGTTGGTGCTGCCTCCGGTAACGGTGACGACGACCATGGCGTTCTCAAAAGCCTGCCTGGTAAGGATATCCTTGGGCCGGATGTCCTCCTTGAGAAGGTTCCTCATGACGTGGCCAATGTTGGCACACTCGGCCTTCTTGCCCTCGTCCTCGGCGGGAGTGCTGCTGCTTCCGGGAACGGTGAGACCGAGGGTCTCGATGGCGGTGGCCATGGTGTTAGCAGTGTACATGCCACCGCACGCGCCACCGCCGGGGCACGCGTTCCTGATGATATCGTAGCGCTCCTCCTCGGTGATTTGACCAGAGATGTACTGTCCGTAGGCCTGGAAGGCGGAGACGATGTCAATAACCTCGCCCTTCTGCGAGCAACCGGGCTTAATGGTACCGCCGTAGACCATGATGGAAGGGCGGTTGACCCTAGCCATGGCAATGGCGACACCGGGCATGTTCTTGTCGCAGCCGGGAAGCGAAATGTTGCCGTCGTACCACTGGCCATTCATGACGGTCTCGATGCTGTCGGCAATAATCTCTCGGCTCTGCAGCGAATACCTCATACCGAGGGTACCCATGCTAATACCGTCCGACACGCCGATTGTGTTGAACCGGTAGGGCACGAGGCCGGCCTCGGCCACCGACTTCTTGACCAAGGCGGACAAGTCGAGCAGGTGCATGTTGCAGGGGTTACCCTCATACCACACCGATGAGATGCCGACCTGGGCCTTCTTGAGGTCCTCATCCGTCAAACCGGTAGCGTACAGCATAGCCTGGGAGGCGCCCTGCGACTTGTGTTGGGTGATGACGGAGGACACCTTGTTGAGCTTCTCGTCGGCGGCGAGCCGGGTCGTCGTGGACAGTAGGCGGCTGAAGGCGGTGGGAAAGCGTAGGAACAGTCAGCCTTGGCACCAGCATGCCGCATTCGCCTTCAAAGCCAAGCATCTCGAAAAAAGAAGCATCCCTCTCCCCAACGAAATGCCACGACCTCGAACGGGCTGGGATCTGAGGATTAATCTACTTACGCATTCTGGCTCACCAACAAAGAGGCCTTAGCCGGCGCCCTCAGGCGGAGGCAGCTGCTCGCCTGGCGAAACATTCTTGAAGTTTAAAAAGAAAGAGAATGCAGGGAAGTGCCCAAAAGAAAAGAAAAAGCCGGGCGAAAGCGAGGCCGGATGTTTTTTTGGGAAGGGAGGACGGTAAATTGTCGGTCTGGCTCAATTGAGTGCCCTGCTCATCAGACGGTCGGTGAGGAGAAAATAAGAAAGGGAACAATTATTTTGGTGAGGGCGAACGGGGGCAGCGCGGATTTGTGGACAGGATGACTCGAACTATTTTTCGAAATCACAGGGAAGGTCACAGGGACACAGCTGGCTGGGAAGCGGTTTCCTTAGTTTGATCACGAAAAATAAAACGACCCCAAAAAAGAAAGGGAAAAAAGCGATGTCGGGCCTTGCCAAATTTTCGGACCTACCATTCGAAGCTTCCCCGCAGGTTCCCACAGGGTCACAATTACACCCCTCGTCATTGGTCAATGGCTCGATTCACCGCCAAGGCTCAACTCGGCTCCTTTGGGGATCAACCTTCTTGCGTGTAGATTGCACCTCCCAAAGCTACGCAAGGCATCACCTTAGGTCAGTCACTGAGAAATCAGTCGAGGTAAATACCGAGGTATCCATGCCTCGATACTACATCTAGCATCAATAGACCACATTAAGAAGAGATGACTCGACCTGACGGCTACACACAGGGACGTTGGTGAGCAAACACAAGCCTCGAGGGACGTCAAGAAACCATCATCAAGTAGCAGATAAGATGAATATTCTATTTGTTAAGCGTGATCGGACACAAGCTATCCCTCACACAAGGCACGACAAGAAAACGGCCTAATTGCCCAAAACAACGCAACCAAGCTCCCCAACTAAACTCCTGCTTCGCCAGAGTCCACCAGAGCAACAAGGCTGGTAGGACACCCAATTCCGAAGAAAAGGGGGCAACAGCAGCGAAGGCAGAAAAGATGGAGGTGAAAAAAAAGCCAACAACGTGAATACCCTCCAATAACTCCTCTCGTCTTGCGACGCATTCTTTCGGCCAAGGTCCTACTCAAATGCGAGGGCGGGCAACAACGTTATCTTGCGTGTACATCTGGGGTCAGTTGTGAGAACCAAAACAAAAGGGAGAGAGAGTGTGAAAAGAGAGACAATTGGCGAACGGGCAAAGGTGAAAAAGAAAACAGAAGCAGAAGAAGTAAAACGGACACAAGACAAAAGAAAACAGGGAATCCAGCAGAGACTTGGGCCCCTCCCTTTATTCTTTTCCTAATTTCAAGGAAAAAGGAGCCAACCAGTTGCATCTTCGCCCACACCCTACTACGCCGCCAGGCAAGAAGTGCAAGCGAGGGCCACGAGGTGGCCACCAATGGTATAATAACAAGATAGAACAGTGTTGAAGATTGAATCGGACAAAAAAAGATGGGGGAGGGAGTGTGCGAAACAGAGGGGTTTCAAAATGCTAAAGAAACGGCCGGTGCTACACCCCGTGTATGCGCAAAGATATACGGGAGTGTCACGGTCGGGCTCCCCGCCATGACATGCGCCGCAACGAAGCAAAACGGGATTGAGTCGCACGAGATGATGAGAGAAAGAATAGATTTGGGGGTTCCGATCCAAGACGGAAGCGCGGAATGAGAGTCTCCGAGTCGGGTGGAAGAGAAAGATATCGCGGACGAAGCTTGGAGAAAACAAGGTCATTAATCGTGAATGAGGAGGCTAATGCTCTGTTCTTGGGCGAAAAGATGATGCGTTCCGAGAAGGCAGGCTTTCTTTTCCAACAAGAGAACAAAAATAAAAAATAGAAGATGAAGGTTCCAAGAAAACGTGGGTATGGTATAAAGTAGACAGCCAGGTCATTAGTCGAATGAGAAGCAAGGAACAGATGGATGGAGAATAATCGACCCTATTCTCAAGCGAGCCTGAGGGGGGCAAAGGGGAGAGAGAAGGGGTGAAGAGTGACTAAAAGACGCTTCATCCCACAGGGCACAGGGTCGGTGGCTGGCACGTTACATGACGATGCAGCACCCGCAACCGCCACCCGTCTTTTGTTTCTCTTGCTCCTGATGTTGGGATTGCTGGTCGTGTCTGCTCGACATCTCCATTGGCGAAAGAGGTTGGTGATGGGAAGACATGCCGGGGGTCCTCGGACTAGGCAGTGGGCTGAGCTGGGGCGGCTTGTCGGATATCTTTGGCATCGTCGAGTATGAGTTGAGGGTAGGCTTCGGTGTCTGGCTACGGCTCACATCGTCCCTCAGTGGCCACTCGGCGGTGTGGTCGGGCTCGGGCTCGCCTTGCTTCGACTCAACCTCTCGCTTTTCGGGCGGTTGCAGGAAGCCATCGTCGGTGAGCGGCCTGAATTCCTTGTCGTAGACGTTGCCAAACTTGCCCTCCTTTTCCCACCTCTCTTGCTGTAAGCGCCGTGCGACGGTAGGTAGCAGCTGCTGGTCCGGAGGTAGGCGAGGGTCTGGCTGGTACGCCGAGACGAGCCACGGCGGGTCTCCTTCTGGCTGCCTGGTCGCCGTTGAGAAGTCGCCCGATCGCGTAGATGGCCGCGTCCCCGCGCTACTCGTGGAATCCTTGTTAGGGCCCGATCGCGTCTTGGGCCGACCTGTCGAGGCGGCACGCCCAGAGGGGCGGCGAGTAGGGCCGGAGCCCTTTTGGGTGAGACGTCCGTCGCGGATCGCTTCGCAGGCACAGCAGTGCCTGGAGGTGTAGTATCGCCGAGGAGCTTCACGCTCGCGCTCCGAGACCGAGGTTTCGGGTACGATATACTGTCGCCGTTCTTTCCTAGCTCATCTCCCGATGCCTTGCGGGCACTCGGCGAGTCTCGTTCAAGATAGTCTACGGGAATAGGCGCGGGGCTAAGTTTGGCAACAGGAATCCGTGTGGCGCCCTTGCCAAGGCCTGTCGGTGTCATGAATCCCTTGTTGGCTTCCGCTATGACTTCATCGGGCAACCTAAGATCCCACTCGGGAATCTCGATCTCGGTCGGTCTGTGGTCGGATATCGAATTTGCTCTGGACCTGCTCGTCCCCGCCCGGTCTAGGGAGGCGTCCGAGGCGCGGCCGGGGCCGCTTCCATCATGAGCTCGCCTGGCTCGGCTTGGCATTCGGTGCCTCGGCAAAATGATGCCAGCGGCCTGCAGTTCCTGGCTTTCGATGATAGCCAGCTTATCGCGGTGGATCCACTTCGAGTCGTCTTCTTTCGTCTCCCCGTCGCCAGGCTTACGTCGATCGGCTGCGGAGGAGCTGACGGTACGGCGAGCGGAAGGTCGGTCCATGTGGGAGTCAGCAGCTGGAGGAGTACCATTCGATTTTGCGAGGTCCGCATTAGTGGAAGTTTGAGAGGTAGAAACTGCTGGGCCGTCTTGCATGAGTTCATCGGGGTATGCGTTTCCGTTCGTTGTAGGCTTTCGACTGCCTACATCGCCGTTTGCCATGCGAGGCACGTAGTCGTCCAATGCTCCATGGTGCGACCCATAGGGATGTCCGCTGTTTGTGCTGCTGTCTATCGCATACGCATTCTTTTTGTCCGCAGCCTACAAACGAAGCAAAGAAAACTGTCAGCAGGTTGTACCATTACGCAGTAGCGGCAATTCGATACCACTCGATGCAAACGTTTCTGCCTCGGCTTTGAGCTCTTTGGCATGCCGGAAGTGAAAGAACGAGAAAGGGGAATAACAGGTTGAGGTTACAAGGTGGCACCGAGAACCAAGCCCAATCTTAGAATCGCCAAGAGAGCTATATCGCGCGTGCTACATATTGGGGGAGTTGTACGGGGCCAAAAGACTTTACCTCATGGTGCGTGTAGCCCTGCCACGAACGCTCCCCTGGCTACTGCTCGGGGGCGTCAGTGTGCTAGTTGTGGTGGTCGTCGTCGTAGTTGTGTGCGAGCGAGTTGCCGAAATGGCTGCCATTTTACTCTTTACGTAGGGATCCGTCTCGTCCGGTTTTCGCGGCCAGCGAGGAGGCGCTGCTCCTCAATCCCGGGTGGATGATCGCCTTTCTCTCGCCGAGAGAGATTTGCAGTCGTTGTCGGCTCGCTTATCGTAACATGTACTGAGATCCGACCGGCACTTTCCACACCAAGGTGAGGAAGAGAAGGGGCCAGGCAAGTACGATATGTTGCACGTCGGCAAGGAATCGGTGGAGGAACCGGGTCGACAAGTTTTCTTTTTTTGGGGGGTTTTTTTGAGGGGGTATATATCTTTGGAAAGGCCGACAATTAAAAGACACGCAATCGAGGGGACAAAAAGGATTCGTTGTCCGTAGTTTGGAGGAGGCGAGGCTCCAATGCGGTCCTTTCTCTCAGTGCAAAAGAGACTCCATTCAAATAAAGGTGTTGAGTACGGTGGCACAGATCGAATGAGAGGATCGAGTGGCGGGAAGCCAAGGTTTGAGGCCCAGGAGACGAGGAGAGAGGATTAATCGGCGTTGGACCAACAGAAGGCAAAGGCGAGAGAAGCTCGTCGGAGGTTAACGCAAGGGGAGGGGAGACGAGAGTGCCACGAGGCAATATACTAGTTTCACACACAAGATCGGGACTCGCAGGGAAGGAAGGGAGAAGATTCTGTGCTGGAAACAGGCAAGGGGGTTTCGAAATCGGATGGAATGCGGCTGGGGATTCCGGGTTCTTCGTTCTTGGAGTGTGTCGCGATGAAGGGGAAAAGCCCCAAGGCACAGTGTAATAATAAAGAGAAGAAGAGAAGAGATAGAAGAGAAGAGAAAAAAATTGACAGAGTCGGTGGGCAAGCGAATGATGGCGGCGAAGTGAGGCAGGCGACCTGGAGACTTCTGAAAGAAGGGGTGAAGTGCAAGAAAGACTGCACGATCAGATTGGAGGTGGATTGATGAGATCAATTGCTCGACCTAGAGGGCTTCCCACAACATTGGACATTTTCCGAAGGGGTTGGTTGGACGGTGTTTCCCTCTACCCCGGCCATCCCCTGACATGGACGCGACCTCCAGTACGAACTACAAGGCACCGAGGACCTGCAATAACTCCACGGTAACAAAGCTTGCAAGGTGAGCACAGAGCACCGAAGCCGGGCTTTTCCCATTCAAGCATCCACCCAATTCATCGACGGGAGGAAAAAAGTCTTGCAAAGTACACATAGCGGCGGAAGTACCTTCCTCCTCCATTCCCCTGATCAAATTGCCTGTCCGGCCGGTGGAGGACAACCACAGCCAACCAGAGGTCCGCCCACAGAGATGGCCGCCACAGTTTTGGGGGAAGGGCCGGAGGCTTGAGGCACTGGAAATTCGACACACTCTGGACACACAAGTACTCCAATGCCTGGTACACGTACATGAATACAAAGCAGATGGGCGACCGCGGGACACAAGGGCCCAATCCTCGAGATTGCGGACCCTCTCCTCACGCTCACAAAGTTACATCCATGGATCATTGATGCAGCATTGATGTGCAGGACACTGATGAGCGATCCTCCGCTGCTTTTCTGTCATGCTACCTATTAAACAGGTCCCCACACCGACCTTGGTCGAGGACAGCCAGCTACAATGGATGTAATAGATGCATCACTGGTTCGCCTCAATCTCCCTTGCGCATTTTGCACTCTCGTCCTCTCGCTCCCACTCAAAACATCTGCTGCACGTAAGAATGCGCTTGTACGAAGTATATTTTGAGGAGGACTTCTACTATCAATGAGCCCGCCTGGGGCCGACTCAGCTGAAGGGGGAAAAGTCACAAGGTTGAGATGAAGACCAACGGGGAACCAATCCGGGGTATCGCCCCCATGCAAAGGCCTTACTTCAAGCAGACATCTCGATTCTCCTCTTGTGATACGCGCGTTTTCGTCCCCTCATCCAACTGAAGAACGAAGGGACCACTGATCTTGAGATAATACCCCATGCAAACTTGCTTTCCTGACTCAACCCACCAGGTCTCACTTTCTTCTTGCCCCTCCCTCCCTCCCTCCCTCCTCTTTCCTATCTTGCGCCCTTGCGCCCTCCCATTAATAACCTTCGCCATCCCAATGTCTCAAGCCCCTTTCTTTTTTCTTTTTCTTCTTGGTGGACCGCTTTTGGGCCGTCGGTTGCCCGACGAGCTTCGAGGCTGAGCTAAGTTTGATTCACATAATCTCCATGCGAACCACCCAACTTTCACCATTGGCTGGGCTGATGACGATTAGGACCGAACCGGTTCGAAAACGAAGGTTGTGTCTCCCGTTCCTTTGAACATGTCTTTGGATGAGCCAGAAAATGCCCACCGACCCGGAACCCGAACCAGAAAGTTATCCATCACGCCAAAATAATCTCCTTCGGGACATGTATCCTTGGTATTATTAGCACGAGAGGAGAGGAAATAAAAAGGGGCAAGAGCGCAAATCCAGGGAAGGGTTGGCGAGGTACCTAGTATATCCACAGTGCGAGTTTCGCGCCCGTTGCACGCCTCGAATCCCGGCAGTCACTTCCCGTGGAAGCACCCTTCATCGATGCTTGGTACGGAAAGAGCAGTCGAGTGGCTGATCATCAACTCATCAAAGTGGCTTGGGCAATGCCCAGAAAAGGCCCACCCGTCTTATTACGCCAGGATTTTTTTCTCTTTCTTTGTTTTCATAGCTGTTCCTAGGCGGGAAGGCTAGTGCAGCAAGATATCCGGAAGCTTGTCAAGCTTGACTCGACTCGACAATAAGACTAAACAGATCATATGCTCAAAAGGGTCAAGCCCCTCCCAGGGAAAAGGGCGACAATGGCAGGTGCGTCGGGGATTTCTGTCCAGGGTCCTCTCAACTATCAAGACAAGATAGTCGCCCCCACTAATACCGGCATCCATTGCTCGGTTCTTGCATTGCCATTGACACAAGTAGTGTACTTTTATACCAAGCATTCGTCGGTATAAAAGAGAATGGGATTCTCCCGATATTATCAAAACATTATCTGATTAAATGCCCCTTAATGCTCGAGATTCAATGTTCAAGCTCTATGCGAGCTGCCGCCACCTATTAACCTCCCCTCATGAATAAGCCCCTTCACAACGTGGCTGTCAGCATTTCGAGAAATGAAGCCTCTGTATCTGGACCTTTTGCCCCCGTCATCCTCCTCAGTAGACCAAGACGAATCCTGGTCAAGTGGCGTCCCCAGCAACACACTGTGCACGAACTTGCCGGGGCATTGGCCAGCCTCGAGAACATCTGGTTCGCCAAATCCCCCATGTAAACAGAAAGGGAAAATAAAAGGAGCATTGCCCGCGAAATCCGACTAGTAATTCAAGGTGAACTCAAGGGAACATGACCCATCACTCGAAGACCCCGTCATAACTGGCAACAGACTCTCCTCCCTCACATAGTGCACTCGTATTCCCCTGTCCCTCCCGACGAACTCACACCCTTTTTTTTGTCAGGCGTAATCTATTTTACCCCGCCCCTCGCAAAGTCCTCCTGGTTCAGGGGGATCGTGGGGACGGTTAAGGTGCCCAAGACCGCTCGAGCCGCGAGAAGAGCCGCCCGCGCCAACAACATCACACCCCCAGCAATACCGTTACTACCACCACCGGCAGCCCGGGTTTGGTGATCTCGTAAGGGGGCTGTTCCCGCCCTTTTCGCGGGATGGCGTATGGCTGATCCTGCCACCCGGCTCCCCGAGCTTTTTAGCGAGCGTCATCAATCTAGATGAAGGGAGCCGCGTATTGTGCCTAGAGTGGCTTTGGCCGTGCGTGCCTGTGTGGCCTTGGGGCTAGGTCATAAGCAGGTTTCTAGTAAATGCTACAGAACGATGACACGGCGGCTTGTCGAAGTGCATGAAACATTGAAGCCTCTCATGTTGCCGCCATCCGCCGGTACCAGACCGCAAGAAGTGCGTTCCTCGACTCCTACATCAGTAGCATAATCTCCATCACCTCGGTACTAGTGCTAGTGTAGAATCCCCCCCAGGCGCCTTGTGATGCAGTAAAACAGATGCCAAATACACATTCCCTATCGAGCGCGTATCATCGAGGAGCAAGAGGCCTATGTAGTTCACAAGTTGCACTCGCAAACCCCAAAGTTCCGGGCAGGAATGCCGTTTTTATTTCTCGGCATCCGAGCTGCTCCCCTTCCGACGCCTCAGGATCAAACGCGCGCAAAAACAGTTGCAGTCCATGTGGGGATCCGGAGCTGTCAGGACGCCTCCCAAAGTCTATTTCAACCACGTCTATTTCCAATGCCACTCTGAAAATAGGGTGATCATGCCAAGGAGCCCGTAAGAGGAATGACAATGGCTGGCCATGTTTCTATACCAAGTAGAGCGTAAAATTCTTGCTAGTCCTGGATTTATTCAAACTCGTTCATCTGTCCGTCCCTTGTATTGTATCACTCAAGCCAGTCCGATATCCTCTCGGACTTGACCTCAAGAGACTAGAAGCTACGAGCTATGCGCCAGAGATTTCCATTAGAGAATAGCGCTCAGGATAATTGAACCGTCCCGGCTCTCTATCTCCAATACCTTCTATTATCAGCGTCGCTGCGCCATAGACGGACTCCTAGTCGCCATTCTATCCAGTGAAGTGTCCAACTCGAGCACTAATAGAGCACGAAAATGACTCTTATCCCATCTAAGATTCGTACTTGGACTAGAGCTTATCTTTTCATTCTTGGTCCTAGATTCAAAGAGATGGTTAGGCAAAGGATGTATGGACCTTTCATAGCTTGTTCATCACACATAGCCCAATGCCATATAAAGGACGTAACTTTATCCTGCTCCTCTCCATAGCATGTAGAGAACATGCAGTTGTTGCTCGCAGCGCCTGTGTGTCTTGTTAGCCTAGCTAAAGGACTTTTTAAAAATACCTTTGATGTTGTCTCCCATATAAAGCTGGCGATAGCATGAGGCTGGTCACCTCTTAGACGATGAGCTTCTAGAGAGCATCGCCAGAATCCTCACTTCTATCCTTCCTCTCCTACATCCCCGTTCTTTAATGACTCCTCCATCAGGCCTTCTTGTTGCCAGCTCTTCTTTCTCCAGTCAACACTTCTGATGAAGCTCTCCAACCCTTTTTATCTCCTCCCCATTTGGTTTGTCCCCCAACTAGATCATGATCCCCAACTCAAGCTCATGCAAAGAAGACTTCATTTTAACCCTCTTACTATTCTTCCATTCTCTTTCTCTTCAAGGCAAGACATTACACATCCTATACCACCAATTCCATTGATTCGGCAAGATGGTGTTTCCTTCGTCAGAGTCGGGCGAGGTCGACCCCCACGATGAAGGGTCGATTTCCGTCCGCCGACCCTTTCAGGTTCCGTCGAGAGATCTGGTACAAGAAGTAAGTTGAATGATCCATGGTGCATCAAAGCTCTCCTCTTGCAAGCATCGTCGGCGGCGCTCCTCTTCTTCTCTCTCCCGTTCAAGTAGGCTCACCATGTTCCACAGGCTCGACAGTATCGGCGAACGTCTACCCCTGTTAACCATCCTTTACAACAACGACTTTTTGAGGATCAGAACAACCGCACATCGGGGTTTTGCATGCTCCCCGACGGCGGCACCAGGGCCGTCGTCTTCGAATGGGTTCCCGCCCTCGTGGACAACTTCCACTTAACATTGACCCGCATCAAGGAGGAGCTCCCCAACACTTCAAACGAGGGGCAGGTGCAACCCTACACACCCAAAACGCTCAATATCCTAGGGTACGTCGAGGAGACTGACCAGCGCATCGCTCTCGTGTACGAACTGGCCGATATCCCAAAGACCCTCCGGTCCGCCTTCGACCAGCTCCCGCCCCCCTCTTCCAGCGCCGCCGCCTAGCCAGGGACCTTGTGCACCAGGTGCGGCTTCTACGCACCGAGTTCCACATGAGCCACGCCGCCCTCCGCATGGGCAGCTTCGTGTTCATTCCTCGGGACACTCCCATTGTCGAGTTCCCCATCGGTGTCACTGCCCCTTATATCCTCGATTGGGGAGGCTACGCCAGGCCCAGCATCTACCAACACCCTGGCTTCGACGGCTCGAAGCAGGCTTGGTACTATGACGCCTGGTCCGTCGTCGTCATCATCTCCGAAGTCCTAAAGTGGGAGCTCGTCCAGCTACCCAAGTCGAGAAACCTCAACGCCTTTGCCGCGCTCAAGAACAAGATCAAGACCAACCTACAGAAACCCAACGAGTGCATACATGCCGCGCTCTTCCGGTATGCCTTTGCGTTCCTCGACCAGCGGCACGATACCCTCGCTCGCATGACTGTGCCTGAGATTGAAACATTCTATGATACGATTTGCAGGCTGATCTGACGGCATCGTCTTTCGAGGCTCAGCTCAAAAGTTCCAACACCTAGCACATCTAGGGATGCATAGATATGCAAGCAAGATCCTTATCATGGGAAGGAAAACAGGGGAATGGATGTATAAAAGGGGTCTTGCTTTGACTGCGTCACGTCCTTGCCGTCGATTTATCATTCTACTTTTTGTTGGTCTTCGGCACTGCTTCCATGGCCGGTCTTGAGTGTGTTTTTTTCTCTTTTTTTCTTTTCGGAGACCTTCAAGCCATGTGGCTACCGGTTCCACATTTGCTCATTCCATCTTTGTACATACGATCTGATCCTCGGACCGGATCAAGGCTCTGCGGGAGCGTTTCATGAAAAGGAATTTTGAGGCGGCGGGGATTCGAAAATCCCTTCTTTTCAAGACAAAAGCTAGTCAAGGACAATCTAGCCATACGCCTAGCGGGCTGATAGTATTGGTCCTCGGTTTGTCTATGCTTTCAAGCTTAGCTGTATATATCCTTCAACGGTACAGCCTCGCCGTGTACTCTAATTAATTTTCCTTCCGTGTTTACTACCTGTTTCCATCCATCCATATATTCGCATCGCGCACGCTACTTCCATCACGTCCACTAATTTCTTTTTCCTGTTTCTTCCTCTTTTCTTTCGTTTTCTCTTCAAAAGTGAAGCAATGCGGCCTAACGAGAATGTGCCATCCCCGGGTTCAGCTTGCTCCTTCCTTCCCCCACCTCAAACCCCCTCTCAGACCGCGGGGAAGTTTTGTGTTACCCAGGACTGCCGAATGCCGCCATCCAACCCAACGCCTCACTAAACGATATCAACACACGTTGAAGGGGAGAAAAGGCCAATTATAGAGCGAATCTCCAAAATAATGAGAAAAAAGAAAAGAGGCAGAGTACGTAGTCCTTGGCCCAAAGTTATCTGGTCCTCTCTCACCAAAGCTGCCAAGAAATCTAGGCAGACAGCTTGAAGGAGGCAGGCCTCCCACCTCACCACTTCCCAACGAACGGATATCTCACATGATGTCCCTGCACCAGTTAAAAGGAACTGAAGGGACTTGAGAAGACGAGCAAAAATTAAAGAAAAAGGAAATATAAAACCAAAAGGGGACAAAAAGAAAGATGGAGCCCGCCACGCCTCAAGACTCGAATACTGGTCAGGAGACCCGCGCCACCCGTCGGACCCGGTTCGTGTGCATCTCAGATACGCACAACGCGAACATCGCCCTTCCTAAAGGGGATGTCCTCATCCACGCTGGAGACCTCACGAACAAGGGGAGCCACTCAGAAGTACGTCGTTGCTGAATACTCTTCGGACTTCGCCTCCGAGGGTTGGAGGAGGCGACCCTGGGCCAAGGCTAATCCTCTCTCCCCATAGCTCTCTAAAACGGTTCAATGGCTGGAGAAAGCCAACTTTGAATGCAAGATAGTCATAGCAGGTACGAAAACAAGGTCGAACATACAATTGTAGTAACTCCTCGGAACTGACCCTCGTGGCACCACTCTCCCCTGTCCCCTTGGTCCTCAGGAAACCACGAGCTCACACTCGACGAGCCGTACTACACCGGCCTGAAAGCCTCAAGTTCTTCCTATGACGAAGACGTGGGCGCATGCCTTGACATTCTCAAAACCTCGTCGCTCACCTACCTCTGCCACGATTCTGCCGAAATTCGCCTCACGTCTCCCTCCGGACCTCGCACACGCTTCACGGTATTCGGCTCCCCGTATAGCCCGCGACGGGGCGAGGAGACCGCCTTCTCCGCATTCGTCTATGACTCTCCTACCAACCCTTCCGGCCAGGCTCCCACGCTTTGGGCCGACATCGCCCCGGGACGGATATCGTGGTGACCCACACCCCGCCCAGGGGCCACGTAGACGAGATCCCTTCGTCTGGTGCTCGCATAGGTTGCCCCGCCCTGCTCAGCGCTCTCTGGCGTGTCCGGCCCCGGCTGGCCGTGTGCGGCCACGTCCACATGGCACGGGGCGCGGAGCACGTTACCTGGGGCCCAGTAAAAGATGAGGTTGCTTCTGTAGAAAGGTGGATTGATCCTGCGCCTGAAGGAAACAAGAACTCGCTTATAGATTTGAGGGAACCACGTGGAGCCCTAAAATCCGGATCCGGACGGGGAGGAGGAGATGGACAAGGACAACGAGAACAAGGAGAACAGGGCAGTGGTGGGTATGGGACAACGTGTGTCGTCAACGCTTCGATCAAGACGGAGAGTTACTGGCTGGAACGGCAGAGTCGTGGTCACAGGAAGGCAAACAAACCCATTGTAGTGGATTTAGATCTTCCAGTCTGGGAGGCGTAAACGAAGAAGGGAAAGCTCGGCGTCTGGCATCGGAGAGGCATGTTGCGCAAGGCGAGAAGCATGAGATGCAGGACTGCATTCAAAGCGGCGGCAGAAAGCAAGGAATTGAAGGGGCCACCTTGCCCCGGGATCGGGGCACCATCTAGCACGTCCGCAATGCGTCCCCGGCAGCTGCGAGAAAGCCATGGGTCTGTCATAAACGAAACAAAAGAGAGTCTCGTACAAAGCTGCCACGGGGCACACGAGCGCCCCATCCCCACAGGCGTTCGCCTCGTCTTTCAAGTGAATACACAAACGGGCAGGTCCTCCCTCCGCTTCCCACCTATGGCAAGGAACAAGTGGCATCTTTCCAGTCGACGCACGACGACCCGGTACCTGAATCATGGGTGCTCTTGTATCCTAACCTCCCTTGTGAGTTCTTTGGGTTCTCGTACACGGGGAGCAGAGCAGAGCCTACACATAGCAGCCCTATGGGCGGCACTAAGGCACAACTGTCGAGTTTCGCCCTCTCCACGGAGCTGAGATAGCTCGCTGCGCCAACACATGCAGCGCGCCGTCGGCTGCGATTCGACGACTTGAGCCGCCGACTAGGGAAAAACACAAGTGTGGGGTGGGAAGGGAGGTCATGAGGGAGGCAGGCAGGGAAGCTGACGACGGCAGCTTTCTCCCCAGAGCCCGTTCCGCCAACCTGTTCTCTTTACCCCGGAAAAAAAGACCCTACCAAGATCCTCGAGATGGATGCATCACCGATCACTCATTGTACAAATCACACAAATCACAGGCCTACACACCATTTGCACGTTGTGATAGTATGCCTCATGTTCCATACCTTGCATCGTCATCACTCTTGGAACGGCCAGGAAGCGAAAGCGGCGCGACACGGTGGTTCCCGCCAGCCTATTGTTCTCCCCCATCACCCCACTGCCAGGTTTTGGTGCATGGGATGATCAGCGGGCAAGCCCGAAAACGGTCCACCACCAAAAGGAGAAATCGGTGGGTATATTCAGTGAGCTGGCGCCAAAGCTAGGAACCACCTGACTCGCATGGACGAGACGAGCGAGCCCTCTTCAATGTCCGTTGGCACCAGCTGACGGTGCAAGCCTGGCAAGGTCAATGTGGTTGACCAGCCCTCGTGGTGCAGGCCCCCTCCCCTGAGGGCACTCGCACCCCTGGTTGGAACCTCCAACACAACGCCCCACGATGGCAAGAGATCCGACACCGTTGACGAGCCCCTTGGATCATACCCCATCCGTTGCTTGGGCAAAGATGCAATGGAGTGGGACTTGGGTGCTGCTTCCCTCACGCAACCCCACACTTCCGACTTCGTAGTTCTCCCACGCATTCCAGTGATGATACCCCATGTCCCATCAGGGAGGAGCATTGATTCCCTCGAGATTATCACGCGTCGCCCGTAGACGCTAGATTTCTCTGGGCCCCGTGTTTTCGCCGTTCTCGTTTAAATGGGCCCCCAATGCACAAACGCGGACGGGTCCCCTCCTCGAACAAAACGAAATGGCGAGATAGCCGAGACGTGACATCCTCGAGGCTAAAGTCTGGCGGCCGTGGGGAGCCATTCCGTGGGGCGCGATCCTCAAAGCCGAACCCGGCGCTGTGTAGTGTCAATACTTGGCCTCTGGTAGGGTGGGCGGATGAACAAATGCGGTTGTGGGAGCTACTCCTCGATTGGCGCCCCCAATCCTCTGGCATTGAGCACTAGAATACACTGGGAGATACGGTGCATGTTCCCCCTGGAAACTCTGCTTTTGCCCCTGTACCGTCATGCCAACGTGCTCTGGATCGGGATGGGGAATGCGAAGTACGAACAAGAAAAAGGAAGAACAGGATCGCCGAGGCAGAGCTGCGGAGGGAGGGGCAAACCCTGGCTCGAGTCCCACATTTGCCGCAGTTCCCGCGTCTTATCCGCTCTCGCTAACTTGCGTGGGTCGGTGCCAAAAAAGGCCATTGCACTATTATTACGAGGTATCTCCAGGCCGGGGAGATATGGCAGGACCATGCTATTGCAGAAAGCATCGCCACGGGTCAGCAGGGGGCCCCAACTAGTGCCACCCTCGTGATGTGGGGGAATGGGCAACGCGAGGATACACGTATTAGACGTAGTAGACAGTGGTGCTTGAACCAAGCCTGAAGCAAACATAAACATGATTGTAATCTGCGAGGACGGGGTTACGCGATCTATCAATCCCGTTGACTCCTACAAGTACCTGGCAATGGCGAGCCTTGTGCAATAGCCAGCTGGACTCCCTGCGCCGCGCTGGAACGATCAGCTCTTTGGGGCTGTCTCAGTCTGACGACAGCGCGGAAACTCTTCGACTTGTGGGACGTGATTGCGTGAACAGGTGGGCGGTGGCTGCCCCCTTGGCGGCTCACGCCGAGCACTCGCCGGGCTGAACAATTTGAGCGTCGGAATTCACATACGATTTCGGTGGTATTACGACCGTTCACTGAGACTTAAGCTACAGTTGCGCTGGTAGATGCCCCTTGGGCCGTCCCCACGTTTCTAAATCGCGATGCGTAGCCAACGGAGGGTCATCTCTGCCTCTCTCGGTTCGAGGTCCCTTTCGTAATGGTTTGAGGAAGTGGATGCGCCCAATGTCCAAATGTACTTCATACTTGCGTTCCCCGCTCACAGTTGTACCTCCACTCAAATGGCAACGGCGCCCAGGGGGATGGGATGGACAGATCGCGAGCATCCATCTGGTTGCCCAGGCCATCCAAGGGGTGGAAAGAGGAAAGGGAAATGTAAAAGTACACAAGTACATTGGCGGATGCGCTACGGTCAGATACGGTGCGCCAATCAGCAAGCGATGGCCCACCAACATCAGGCTCGAAGGACGTGAAGGGCGAGCGAGGAGCTGCAGGCCCGGCTGTGTGTGATAGAGTATTGGTGGGAGGCGCGTCTCCTCACTCAGTGGCGAGTCAATTTCAGGGTCCTGCGGATGTCTGAACAATTAAGCTGTGACAGAAGCCCTTTGTCGCGGGGAAAGCCAGGGCAGGGGGCTCACGGACCACGGACCACGCATCCTCGACAAATTTAGCGTAGAAAACCAGCGATTTCAGCCCTCGAGAGGGCCTCAGGTGGGGTTATGAGGAAGAGGGGTTCCAGATCCCACGCTCCTGAACGATAGGACTTGCAGAAAAACGTTCCAGTACCTTTCCGATTAGCCCTCGACAACAGCCGAGGATTATCCTCTGCAATCCCAAAGTTCAAGAATGAACGAGCTGCAACATTGAGGACCCCCTCCCGCTATATCCCAGCTATTTGGCTGCCGCGGTGTCATGAGGAAGGTTCTCGACCTTCTTCTCATCCATCTCGAAGGTGTGATGGAGACGAGTGAGGGATAGTGCCGGCTCTCCGGAAGAAAACCACGAGGAGAACAGGGCGAAGGAAGCGTAGATGACAGCACAGCCCGTCTGACTTGCGTTGAAGGTTGGGTGGGAGCAATGATTCTTCTTCAACCCTCGCCCGCCTCGCCCGAGTGGTGAGCATATTTGCGAGTTGGTTGCAAAGGATGTCCATCCTCATGAGCCTGGCCATCCTCGAAGCGCCCTGTTTGCCTTCTTTGATCGGTTCCAAGAGTTCCACGCTACCCACCATCAGGACATCCTCTATCCTTGAAAGGAGCCGAAATGGAGATGGGTGGGGGACATGATAGGAAAGCGAGTTCCGCTGGGACGTGGAAGCCGACCTTGGCTCGTCGCCCCATCCTGTGAGAGGGGTTCATGATGAAACCATATTTTCGCAGCTGGTGTCACAAACCTGTGCTCAAAGATTCCTCTTCTCTTCTTATTTTTTGTATTCGTCTCTCATTTGCGGTATAATAAACTCTCCGAGAGGGAGAACTAGGGCTGTCAAAGCGAGTCTAAACCACTTGACTCTGTCGAGTTTGTTCCAAGAAACTCTTCCTTGATGGCGCTTTCCCCACTACTCGACTCTAACTCGGCATGAGTTCCGATGTTAGCTGCTTTCTTCGCCCCAGTGACCTCGGCGGGATGGGGATGGGGTTGGGACAGGTGCACGAGTCCCACTCGCCGTGAGCATAAACAGCCGAGCCCCCTCGCATTCCCACACATTGTACACGGTGCGGATAACAACATGATACGTTGGTTACTTTGCTTCTGGTGATCATTCTCTCGATTCCAAGACCGTCCGAAGACGTGGAGAGAGCGTCGTCCCTGTCCCGCATAGCGTGGCTGCGCTTTCCGCGGGATCCTACTGGTTCCTTGTGGATTCCTGGGCTGTGATTCGCTTAGCTTGCGTCATCCACTGCGAAGCGCCTGCGAATCGATCCGGGAGTATTGCCCCTCCTCACCCTCTCGTACCCCTCCTTCCACCGGAGCGGCTTGACTGACTTGACTGGCTCGACAAGGACACCACGCTCCACATGTCACCAGCACCCTTCATCAGCGAGCCAATCACCACAACCCATCACCTTTCCCTTTTGCGCAGGTCGCTGCTCCATCGAAGCACGGAGAAGAAAGTTCTCAAGCTGCCCGTCCGCAGCGACAGACGCTAGT